ATTTGAAATCAGTTTCCATTGTTTACCAGCTACTATTGTGAGCAGTAAGAAAATTCACTCAACATTGTACCTGGAAAATAGTAACTATTAGTAAGAATTATCAATTTAGCAATATTAATAATAGCTGTGACCATTATTGTTTTAAAATGTTGGACTCATAAAATAATTTTTAGTGGTAGGATTGATAGATGAAAGGGATGAGTCTCTAGAAAAACAATTGTGAATGAAAAAAATCTTAATCATTTTTTTCTCCCTCCTTAGTCCAGAAGCATTTGAAATCCATGGATCATTCACATGGCTCGGGCAAACACAATATAAACTTCAGCTTAAAAGCCAGGAGATTCACAGTTTGCAGCTGAAAGCATGCTTCGTCCATACAGGTGTTTATAACCTTGGGACTCCTAGGGTATTTGCCAAGTTGTCGGACCAAGTTACGGTGTTTGAAACAAGTCAGCAGAATTCCATGCCTGCTCTGATCATCATCAATAATGCGTGACACCTTGTAAATTTGTACTGAAATATACAAGAATCAGTTTTACTTTACTGAATGGGTTTTTACATCAGTATTTGAAATACCTAACTTGCTATAGAGGTTGGTGTCAGATCACTGCAAAATACTTTAACTTGTCAGTTTGTTGATGACAGAAAGCACGTTGGATTGAGGATACTTATTCTTTTTTTTTTTTTTATTTCTTTTAAACCCTGGCAATAATTTACATTCTCATAAGACAGAATATCAACATATCCATGCACCTTATTAAGCCCCGTCTTAAAAACCAGTGTCTATGTCTGCTGTTACAATTTATCAATGGTATATGAATATTAGGAGACGATTTTGAGGGAAAGGCCTTGTTGGCAGTACTCCTGTTAAGCCATTAGTCTATAAATTCGAGCTTTACTGTGAAGTTCTATTGAGTATTAAATACAGATTTTTCCTGTCTTGCTTTACACAGTTCTCTAAAATCAGTTTTGAACTTTGGTTACAGAGTCTTCATACTTCAGTACCGGTGGTTCCTATGGCTTATACAAAACTTTGTAAAAACAAAAAATTTTTTTCTGATGCTTTGAATATAGTTTTGAAAGGAGTTTGACCTTTTTTTTCCTTGTCATCTCTGCATACAGTGCACTATTTCACAACATGAGATTTTTGTCATTTAAATTATATTCTTTATTATGTAACTAACAATTGAGTTGATCTGTTTAAAATATAAATCTACTCAACTTAATTAAAAATAAGCTTTTCAAAAATGTATTATATTTATAACAAATGTACTGTAAATAAAATAAAGACATGCTATTCACTGTTTAGATTTATTACCTTTTTTTTTAATTCTGAGGACTTAATATATTTTTTATTTTAGGTGAATATTATTATTCATGTTGTTATTGCATGTACAAGCCCAATTTCCTTAGAGAGCTTTATCATCTTCACTAAAGTGAAGTACAGTCTTTGTTCCTATATTTTTGGTGGCTTTGATATATATGAGAAAATGAATTTTATCTTTAAATATGTCATATGTGGTTATAAATTTGGGTAACCCTTTTATATTCTGGGACAAAAGAAGATCAATGCTTATTGAATGTTTCAGAAATAACCAGACTCTGCCTGATGCTACTTGGGCGAAATAGGTAATAAGTTTAGCCTTCCTGACAATGAAAAGTAATGTCAGAAAATATTTTTTAAAATCTTCCTGAAAAACAAAGTGTTTACCAATATAGTCAATTATTAGTAAACCAGAAACCAGGAGAAGAAAATCCAGAGAACTGATCAGCATCTGGGATTACAGAAGGTCCCTGATTTACAATGTTCAATTAGGATTTTTAAACTTTACAAGTAGTGTAAAACTGCAGTACTACACTCTCTCTTGAGGGTGGGTAGCAGCAGCAAGTCAGCAATTTCGATTTAGGATTATTTTCAATTTATGATGGGTTTATTGGGACCTAACTCCATCGGATGGTGAGGAAGATGCGTTCTTTCCTTGGGAAGGTTACCCACTTAGGAGGAAGCAGCTGAAAGACTCAGGGCCTTATTCTTCATATTCTTTGAGACAAGAAGTATAGGTCAGGAGAAATAATTTAAATAATTAGAAGTAATCAAAATTGAAGAAGGGAAGAAAAGAGAAAATGGGCAAAAAACAAGATACGAGATCTGGATTCAGTGAGAAAGTCATATGTTTATTCGGAGTCCTGGAAGGAGGATGGAGAGGATGGGGCAGAAGCAATACTTGTTTTATTAAAAAGTAATTTAAGAAAAAAGTTTAGTTAAAATAATGTAACATTATTATAATTACTCTTTTTCCTGGTCTCTTATTTAGGTTTTCTAAATTCCTGCTATGAGTGAGACCATCCAGTGTTTTTCTTTTTCTTTCTGACTTATTTCGCTGAGCATGATTCCTTCCAGCTCCATCTGTGTTGCTGCAAATTGCATGAATTTATCTTTTTTGATTGCTGAGTAATATTCCATTGTATGTATGTACCACATCCAGAGACACACTCGGAGGTGGGGGAGGAGGGAGTAGGATCAAAACAAGGGGGGTGGGAATTGTATGGGGACTATAACCAAGATGAAAATGCATGCATTGTGCAAAAAATGAAAATGATGTAAAAAATACATAAAATTAAAAAATAATGCAGAAAAGAGATAAATTGTAGCTAACCTATATATATATATATATATATATATATATAAAAAAAACAAGGGGCCTCCCTGGTTTCACAGTGGGTTAAGACACACTATGAGGCTGTCTACGGCGACTGCAGCATGAGTTAGATCCCCCGGCCGGCCAGGGAGCAACCCACGTGGTGCAGCAGACCTTTCCTTACTCGCCCGCTGCTCCCCTCAGCAGTGTACTTCAGTCAATTTGCCTGTTCTGTTCCCCACTGTGTCTCTGGTGAATCTTAACACCCTGCCCCCTGTACCTCTGGCCTGTACCCCAGCTCTTGTATGCATAAACAAATCTTTAAAAAAAAATGTAACAAGTTTTATTTAGAAAATACACCCAAAAAGAAATCACAGTACAAAGAAAGTTTTATGTCAAGGTCTCACCAGTTCCTACAGTAGTGGTATTATCTCAATAACTTAAATATAACCTAAAAGATTTTAAATGGAAATAAACTAGAATGAACAAACATGGGAAATACTCATCTTTGATTAGGGACCAAACCCCTTGAAGTTTTCCCAATAAAAGCATGTGTCCCAATGTGTTCTTGGTGATCTGGTATAAAAGGTCCACATTTAGGGGCCTCCATAGTAGCCTATGGGTTAATTCTCAGCAGTATCACTGCTACGGCCTCAATCCCCAGTCAAGGAGCTAACCCACATAGGGAACAGCAGACTTCTGTCTCCCCCGCTGCTCCCCTTCGCAGTGTATAACATGACCAAGAATACTGATAACATCCTGTGTAGACTGGAAATTTAAAACTAAATTCTAACAACCCATCTCAAGTGTCTACTGCAAGCCTTTAAGAGTGGAGGCGGGGAAGACACCAATCCAGGGCACTGTGGAAAGGGGATAAGAGAACTGAGGGCATAAGGGTGAGCTGACATCACTCTACCTTAATTTTATTTTTTAATTTTTTTAAGGATTTATTTATGCATACAAGAGCTGGGGTACAGGCCAGAGATGCGGGAAGTGAGAGGATCCACCAGAGACAGAGTGGGGAGCAGAACAGGCAGATTGACAGAAGTACACTGCTGAGGGGAGCAGTGGGCTTGTCAGGAGAGGTCTGCTGCGCCATGTGGGTTGCTCCCTGGCCGGCTGGGAATCGAACTCGTGCTGTAGAGGCTGCAGATTGCTTCTTGGTGCGGTGCCTAACCCCTTGCGCCACCAGGGAGGCCCCAGTCTACCCTAATTGTAAAAGTACTCAGAAATCTGCAAGATCTGATTTCAGGCAAAGCACTTGAAGCTTTGCAGTGGACCTTGTAGGAGGAGGAGGGAACAGGATCCATTCATCACACAGCTAAGGAAATGCCTTCTAGTAGGAGTTATAATTCCACTACTTAGAAGAATATTCTTGCAGGACAAATAACTTTCAATCTGAACTGAAAATTCTGCCATTAAAGATTCATACCCTTAGGTCTGATTTCTAGAAGACTCATTAAAATGCAAATGCCAGTAGGAATCCTATTAGTACAACCTAATAGATCTTTACAATGTATTAAAATTGGTTAGGCATCTTTTAAGTGCAAGTCTTGAAATAGAACACAGGAACTGTCTAAAGGGTGGTGATTTGTCAGGGAAATGCAAATCAAAACCACAATGAGATACCATCTTACACCAGTGAGAATGGCACATATTAAAAAACTAACAATAACAAATGTGCAAGGATGTAGAGAAAAAGAAACTCCTACAACTGATGGTGGGAGTGCAAACTGGTCCAGCCACTGCAAAGATGTATGGAAGTTCCTCAAACTGCTAAAAATGGAGCTTCCATATGAGCCAGCAATTCCACTTCTAGGTATCTACCAAAAGACACAAAAACATTAATTCAAAAGGACACCTGCACTCCTATGTTTATAGCAGCACTGTTTACAATAGGTAAGCTGTGGAAACAACCCAAATGCCCCAAAATAGATGACTGGATCAAGAAGATGTGGTACATATACACTATGGAATATTACTCAGCAATCAAAAAAGATAAACTCATGCCATCGAAGCAACATGGATGGAACTGGAAGGGATCATGCTCAGTGAAATAAGCCAGAAAGAAAAAGAAAAATACTGGATGGTTTCATTTGTAGGAAGAATGTAGGGGATCCAAATAAGGGATCAGGAAAAAAAAGTATAGTAAAGTAAAAATCAAAATCAGGGCCTCCCCTGGTGGCGCAGTGGTTGAGCGCTGGGTTGCGAGGCTGCCCGCAGCCCCTGCAGCACCAGTTCGATCCCCGGCCAATGGCAAGGGTCCCAACAAAAAAAAAAAAAAAAAAAAAAAAATTCAACAGGCAACTATAAACACATTCTGTGTGGGAGGAGGAGGGTGTTGGATCAAAACAGGTGGGAGTGCTCCCTTCTGCAGCACATATACTAAAATTGGAAGGATACAGAGATTAGCATGGCCCCTGCGCAAAGATGACACGCAAATTCATGAAGGGTTCCATTTTTTTTTTAATAAAAAACGGGTGGGAAGAGCACAAGGTACTAAGGTACACGGGTGAATTGGTGGTGGGAATTTCACTGGGACTATACCCGAAATAATAAAGCATTACATTGTATAAAATAATAAAGCATTACATTGTATAAAAATGATGAATGATGGGCTTCCCCAGTGGCGCAGTGGGTTGAGCGCTGCACTGTGAAGCTGTCCACAGCCTCTACAGCGCAGGTTTGATTCCCGGCCTTCCCGGCCAACCAGGGAGAAACCCACATGGTGTGGCAGACCTCTCCTGCCTCTCCCGCTGCTCCCCTCAGCAGTGTCTTCGGACCGTCTGCCTGTTCTACTCCCCGCTCTGTCTCTGGTGAATTCTCTTACCCTCCCGCACCTCTGGCCTGTACCCTTGCTCTTGTATACATAAACAGTTTTTTTAAGTTTTTTTTTAAAGATTTATTTTATTTATACAAGAACCGGGGTACAGGCCAGAGGTGCGGGAGGGTGAGAGGATTCACCAGAGACAGAGGGGAACAGAACAGGCAGACTGACTGAAATACACTGCTGAGGGGAGCAGTGGGTGAGACAGGAGAGGTTTGATGGCCATATGGGCTGCTCCGAGGCTGGCGGGGATGGAACTGGTACTGCAGAGGCTGCGGCCAGCTTCACAGTGCTGTGCTCAACCGCCTGCGCCACTAGAGAAGCCCCCTGCATAAATAAATCTTAAAAAAAAAAAAGATTTGTTTCAATCTAAAGACCAATCACACTCCAGGGAGGAACTGTACAAGAGAGAGGAGAAAGCAGCATTTCCCATTTTCCAGGATCAGAAAACCCTGAAGATTCAAAAGCAAGAGGCAGAGCAGGAGGGATGCTGGTCCTTCTCTGCACCCGGGGCTTGACCTCTAGGTCTTAATTGGGTGTCTGGCTTTTCTGCTCCTTCCCTCCTGAGGTTGGGGAGGCATGGGGAAAGATGGAGAGGAAGATCACATGCAGGGAGACGCATTTCCTTCTTCAAAGTCAAAGGTTGTGGAATTGTAAAAATGTCAGGAGAAGGAAGAAGGCACAGCCATGAGAGGGAGGTGTGGTTACAGTGCAGCATGCTCACACCACTCAGGAAATCTGATTATTAAATTTCCAGGAATTCTGCAGACCAATTGTTAAACACAGCTGCTAATGAAAAAACTAAATCATATAAATGTGTAACTAAATGCATTAAATTTAAAATAAAGGTAATGCATATGCAAAATTCATCACTTCCTAAATATTTTACAATTACCCATCTTGCTATGATTGTTTATTGTCTTCATGGGGAAATGCTATGTTATGATCTGTTGCTCACTGCATTCAATGGCATCTTGCTCTGGTAACTTGAAATTGGCCATAATCAGAATATTTGCCCCAGAGAATTCAGCAAATGCTGTACATCAGGGCTTGAAGCATTAGTTTTGGCTTTTTAATCTAGACCTAAGAAAGTGATGGGGGAAATGTTAATAATGCAGATTAAATTTAGAAGTGTTGAAGAGCACACATCGTGGAGGAAAAATTCCTCCAGTACCTAAAAACTGTTATTCAGGTCAGCAGAGAAGTTGCTCATGTCCTTGAACAAGTGAAGATGTGTCTTCTCACTTTCCTCAATGTAAAAATATCAACCAACTTTCATACTAGAGTTATCCTCATTTGTTAATTGCAACATAAGTTGGTTATACAAGAATTTGGCAAAATTCTATAAAAGCTCTCTGTGGCAGGCCTCCCTGGCAGCACAGGGGGTTAAGCACAGCACTGTGAAGCTATCTGCAGCCTCTGCGGCAGAGTTCAATCCCTGGCTGGCCAGGGGGCTACCCACATGGCGCAGCAGACCTCTCCTGTCTCACCCACTGCTCCCCTCAGCAGTGTATTTCAGCAGATCTGCCTGTTCTGTTCCCTGCTCTGTCTATGATGAATCCTCTCACCCCCTGCACCTCTGGCCTGTACCCCAGTTCTTGTATGCATAAATAAAATTTTTAAAAATAATAATATAATAAAAGCCCTTTTTAAGAAGCAAAGGGCTTTATGAAATATGCAATAAAGTATATTACATATCTTTTGTTATTTGTAATTTTTTGCTACATCAATTTATATCAGTTTTAAAATATTTTTTTCCTTCCTGGGGAGTAATTTGTAAATACATATCAGCACACAACTGGGTATGGGTATAGACCATAAGAAAGTTAGTGTTCTGGCATACATGTTGTAGTTAGCCAAAAGCTAACATGTCATATAGGATCTACCTTCCAGGCTTCAGGACTGTTTAGAACAGTGGTCCTAATTATTTGGGCAGCTACTAAAAAAAATGTAATTATAGAGCATACCTTCCCCAGCAGTTTGGTCTGCTTCCTCACCAATTTCATTGATCTGGTTGGTGTGGAAATTTGTCCTTGTTCACTTTTGTTGCCTTATTTTTATTCTTAGAGTGCCTTTTTTTTTTCTTTCTTTATGCATACAAAAGCTGGGGTACAGGCCAGAGGCACGGGGCAGGGGGTGGGGTGGGGGGGTTTTGTGTGTGTGAGAGGATTCACCAGAGATTGTGTGTGTGAGAGGATTCACCAGGATTCACCAGAGAGGATTCACCAGAGTGGGGAACAGAACAGGCAGATTGACTGAAATACACTGCTGGGGCAGCAGTGGGTGAGTCAGGGAGCGCCATGTGGGTTGCTCCATCACTGGCCGGGAATCAAACTCGTGCTGCAGAGGCTGCGGATAGCTTCATAGGTTGCGTCTTAACCCCTGCGCCACCAGGGAGACCCATCTTTTTTTTTTTTTTTTTTTTTAGAAGACCCACTCTGTAGAGGGGTCCTGTATACCAGAGGAAATATTACCCCAGCAAACCTGAGAAACACTGTGTCCAGCTACAGACTTTTATAAAGACTGTTTTTATCAGTCTTTTAGGTCTACTTCATGGGATTGTTACTATTCTTTCACAGTTCTAAGTGAGGGCCTCCCTGGTGGGCAAGGGGTTAAGACACAGCACTATGAAACTACCTGCAGCCACTGCTGCACTAGTTTGATTCCCTGGCCAGGGAGCTACCCACATGGCACAGCAGACCTCTCCGGACTTGCCCACTGCTTCCCTCAGCAGTGTGTTTCAGTCGATTTGCCTGTTCTGCTCCCCACTCAGTCTCTGGCAAATCCTCTCACCCCACACACCTCTGACCTGTACCCCAGCTCTTGTATGCATAAATAAATAAATCTTCAAAAAAAATAAAAAATAAAAGTTCTAGGTGATTAAATCAATGTTATAAAAATATGGCTCTAAGATGTGGCAAATAGGGCCTCCCCTGGTGGCACAGCGGTTGAGCACTGGGCTGCAAGGCTGCCCACAGCCTCTGCAGCACCAGTTCAATCCCCGGCCACCGGCGAGGGTCCCACATGGCGCGCAGACCTCTCCTGCCGCCCGCTGCTCCCCTCAGCAGTGTACTTCGGTCCTTCTGCCTGTTCTGCTCTCCGCTCTGGCTCTGTTGAATTCTCTCACACTCCCGCAATTCTGACTGTACCCAGTGCTTGTATAAATAAATAAATAAATCTTAAAAAAAAAAAAAAGATGTGGCAAATAGTGCAAAGACTAATTTTATGCTTGATGATATTGAAGTAAAAATTGAGTTTACAAGTAGCTCATTTGCTCAGTTAAACAATAAAACTGGCATTGATGGTCAATCCCAGCTTGTCTGTCATTTTTATTATCTCTAAGTCATTGATCATAACTATTCTTTTTTTGATATGTTTATTTTTATTTATTTATTCATTTACTTATTTATTTTAAAGATTAATTTATTTTTTAACAAGAGCTGGGGTACAGGCAAGAGGCGTGGGAGGGTGAGAGGATTCACTGGAGACAGAGTGGGGAGCATAATAGGCAGACAGGTGCAACAGGAGAGGTCTGCTGCACCATGTGGGAATCTCCCTGGCGGCTGGAGAATCGAACCACGCTGCAGAGGCTGCGGACAGCATCACAGCACTGCTCTCAAGCCACGCGCCCCCAGGGAGGCCCCATAACTATTAATTCTTACCAGTGATGGTCTTGTCAGATATGCCATTCATGATATTAAGTACCTTTGAGCACTATTTGTAGTCTGCTGAGTCTAGGTAGTTGTGAGCTACAGGTAAGATGATCACATAAGTTTTCACCCAAAATAAGACATTCTGAGAGTGAAAGGGAACTAACTCTATTAGCAGTTAGGTGGAACATTATAAACTGGATCTGTTTCAGGTCCACTGTGTTCCTATTAGGCTCCGCTCTCCCCATTCTCAGGCTGACTGGTGTGTCAGTGGATTCTGCTACACTTAGAAACATTTCACTTCCACAAAGCAGTCACATGGTTTATTCTTAGCTGCTTGGGGAATTTCTACTTTCCATTTCCTTTTTGCAGTCCTGTTATTCAATTCAGATAGGATGATGCTATCCTTCAGGTTGGAATCAGGTGAGAGTGCTCTAGTAACTTAGGGGCTGGAACCAGGACTGAATTCTAGCCCTGCGCTAAGAATGTCTGTTTCAGCCGGTTTAGGCTGCTGACCTGACTAGAGTCTTAAGCCTCTCCATGCTGGCTTGGAGAACTTATGCAGTATTTCTAGCCAATACACATACCTTGAATAGCAATTTATCACCTTCATATTTATCAACAAACTAGCTAGTGTTAAATGAGACAGTTAGTAAATAAACAACACTGGGTTAAGTAATTCAAATACTTTTTAACCACATTTAGCCTTTGAAGAAGTCTGGTTAGTTCATTATTCAGAACTGGCTACCAAAGTCTTTCAAATATTAACTGTGTGTGTGTGTGTGTGTGTGTGTGTGTGCATGCAAGCATGGTCATTAAGTTTTAGTTTTAACCACCTACGTGCTTGCATGCACACACACACACACACACACACACACACACACGGAGTCTTTTAAAGCAAACTGTATTCAATATAGCATTTGCTCACAATATAAGGAAATGAGTCCAGATGTACCAAAATAGAATATTTCCTCTCAGATTAATAAGA